TTACGGTTGAGTTCAAAGCATATATATACATATACGAACTCTCTCAAGTCTCAATCTCAAGTGTTGTAAAAGGTCTTGATGGTAATCAGAACAACTTGTTAGTGCTACATGTATATATATATATATGTGGCACATGGTTTGGTATCATTATTATACATTTTATTATTTTGTTTAAATTAATCAAAAGTATTAAACGACCTTTTGAATTTTTAAACAGTAAGCACTTTTCTAAATTGAAACGTTTTCCTACTCCTCATGGTATATTTATGGGTGCACAATATAAAATTTTATAGGAATATCTCAATATTTGTTTATTTTTTATCTAGTATGTTAGACCATTATTAGTTGCTAGGACTTTTATTTATAAAATCCTTGATCTATTCAATACCATTAATAGCTTGTTTGCTTAGTCCCCTTGTGTTTAAGGAAAAATTAATAAATATATTTAGTGGACGTGTTAAAAGTTTAAAAATGAAATAAACAAAAATGAAAGTGTTTTTTTTCAATCTTTTTATATAATAAATAGAATATTATATTTATCATTATCTTATCAAATACTAATATTTGTTAGTAAAAGATTTAGAAAGTAATGTTCATGGTTATGTTAATTTTCAAATAAAAGAAGTGTTACATAAATTAGACAGACATATAACAAATTCTTAAAATATTATTATTTTCTTAATAGTTATGAAGATTGTGTCGACAAATATCATAAACATTATGTACAATGGTTAACTTTGAGCAAATTGCTACCTTAAAGTAAATGAACAATTATTGGGGAGAAAGTGGTTAAATTTCTCAAAATTTATTGAGTTATGTTATATATTGATTTATAGTATTTTTTATAACCCTTTTGAAATTATTTTGATTTTGATTTTTCTATAACACATGGTGGATTTGATCTGATTGTTGAGTGTGTTGTCTTAAACCTAAAAACGAAAAGAAATGGTTTAGTGAATTTAGTTGAAGTGCATGGTTAATTAGAAAGGGAATGAGAATGTGAGACATGGGCACATAATTCCCCATATTATTATTAGATGGAAGGTCATAGTCATTCTTTTATAGTGTACCTCCATTTATTACCTTTGTCTTTTGCATCCATTCCTTCTCCATCCACTCAATGCTGTTTGCCTTCTCTCCCTCATAAACTTTTCCCACTTAATTATCACCTTCACACTCTTCTCTCTTTATCTCTCACTTTGTGTATCTCTTTGCAGTTAGGGTTTCCTCTTTAAGGGTGCTCTTCCTGTCACAAATCTGCAACTTATATCTTTCATTGGCTAAGCCTCTTTTGTCTTCTCAGGGTAAAAGAGCAGCTTCTAAAGCCCCTCCCACAAGGGAAAAAAAGGTACTTCCCTTTTAGTTCTTCTCATCAACCAAACCTACATCACAAACAGGTAAAATCATGTTCATGTTCTAGCTTCTTCTCTCTATGCATCTATAGTTCTTTTCTCTGTTTCATCTTCTTTTAAGTAAAGTACCGGGTGCTAGCTAGACAAAATGGATCCTTTTGAGAACTCACTGTTTAGGGCTTCTTCTTTTTTCTTTTCTTTTTTCATTTTACATATGCTTTTTTTATGCAGTCATGCCTCGTTGCTGCAGCCAGATCCCTGGTTAATTCAACTCACTTAATTATAAGCTTTTTACTTTATCATGCAGCTCAATTCCAGCAGAAGAAAGATATATATATATATATATACATATAAAGTTTTCTTGTCTGTGTTAGAGTGTGCAAGTTTCTGATGAACAAACCTGGAAGAAGATAGAACATACACAGAAACTTATATGGGGGGAAAATTAGAAAACAGTATGAAGGGAGTTTCAAGATTAAAATTAAGAACTCCTCATTGTCTTTTTTTTTCCTCCTCAAGAATAGAAAAAAGAAGCCAGAACGGAAAGAAGGAAAATATATTTTAAGAAAAGAAATAAGAAAGTTTGTTAAAGAAAAAGAAAGGATAAAGATGGTCATACTATAATTTAATATAATATAATTTAAAGAAAGTGACAACTAATCCTTAAATTTAAACCAGTTACAATGTTTTGGGTACGTATATGTTTGTAATGGGGAAGGGTCTTAAGAGATCTCAGGAAGAAAGGATTACGAAGGGTTAAAAGATCCTACTATATATATATATATATATATATATATATATATATATATATATATATATATATATATATATATATATATATATATATATATATATATATTCTGCTTCTAATAATATTCAATGATTATATGGATACATATAGTTGATACCTTTGATCGAAGAAAGAACTTAAACACGAACTTGACAAGAAAAAAAAAATATAACTGAAGTAATCAGATCTAATTTTGTTTTTCTTTATTTTTTACCATTCATTTTCATAATAATTTTGGAAATGAAAATGAGAGAACAATACACTGACTATTTGTCAGTCTTCTACCTCTTTCTATATATATAAAATTATAGTTGGAGTTCTATTCAATGTTAACTCACTAAAGTTATAAGAAATATGAAATTTCACCATAAATTTTCGTAGATGTTGGTGGTCCTATATCTTGTATAAGGGAGAACTTTCTTCTGATCTAAACTTTTGGTCTTTAAAATATGAAAGAGAAGAAAAAAAAAGTCTACACAGTGGAGAAGGGAAAGTTGTGTTAATTGATTTCATTTCATGTGAATCTTTTTTCCTTTTAGGGAAATTGAAAAATGGCATCATCGAGCTCCTACAATTCTCCTTGTGCTGCCTGCAAGTTCTTGAGGAGGAAATGCCTTTCAGGGTGCATCTTTGCACCATACTTCCCACCGGAAGAGCCTCAGAAGTTCGCGAACGTGCACAAGATATTCGGTGCCAGCAATGTGACGAAGCTTCTGAACGAGCTTCTTCCTCACCAGAGGGAAGATGCAGTGAATTCCCTTGCCTATGAAGCTGAGGCACGTGTGAGAGACCCAGTTTATGGGTGCGTAGGAGCCATCTCTTTTCTGCAGAGACAAGTTCAAAGGCTCCAAAAGGAGCTTGATTCTGCCAATGCTGATCTCCTTCGCTATGCCTACAATGACATGCCTTCACCCTCTCTTTCTGTGCCACCAGCAATGACAGCAACAACAATTCAACAAATTCCCCAAAGGTCTTTCAATGCAAGGTTTGGAAATGAAGCAAGTGGGCTTTATAGGCCCTCTCCCACCATCACTTACAACTCCTACCCTTATTCTCTTCCATGGACTGATACCTCTCCTGAAGATATCAATGATGGAGGAGGAGAAGGAGGAGGTAATAACTTGTGAAATGTCTTTGAAGAATAATATTGCCTATCTAGGGTTTATGCCTCTTGAGGGCATGTCCCCTGCAATATTTATAATATGTAGTCATGGTCTCTGGCTGTGTAGCCTCCTTTGGACTGTTCTGGCTAGGTGACTGATGATGATCCACTGTTTAATTTCTCTTAAATTAATTTGAAGGGGTTTTGTTTTTGTAGGTGATGATTATGAACATGTGTTGTTTATCAAGACCTAAGCTACCAAAAACTTAGGTAGTCTTTCCAAAATCTTTAGTCCTAAAATAAGTGGGTGGTAGATGAGAATGCATAGTAATGTACAACTACTGCTAGACCTACTCTTATTGTGTATTATTCAGTGCAACTCTATAGGCATGTGCAGTGAGCATGCGGAGTTGACATTCTCTGTCATTGTTTATGATTAAGAATAAATGAACGATAACGTTACTTGATTCTAAAGCCTAACTCTACGGCTTAGACGCTTATAGTCCTACTTACCCTATATATTCCCTGCCTTTAATTTTCCTCTTCTTCATGGACCACTCTTTTACTTTATCCTTCTTATTTTAACCCCTCTTCAATTACTTATTTACGCCATTCTATACTCGGTTCACACAATCAATCATTTAAACATGCTTTTGTTTTCTCTACTCATTATAATTACCTCACTTGGCAAACCATCCATTGAGTTAATTTAACTTCACCAACCGTCCAAATTTTAATTTCACTAAAATAAAGGCACAGAACTATAGTGTCAGTGACAGTGAGGAAGCTGAGTTAATTACTGCAAAATGTCACAATCACAGGCACAGAAACAAGATTTTACGGTTGAGTTCAAAGCATATATATACATATACGAACTCTCTCAAGTCTCAATCTCAAGTGTTGTAAAAGGTCTTGATGGTAATCAGAACAACTTGTTAGTGCTACATGTATATATATATATATGTATATATATCTATACATATCTAGTCTCTATATAGGTTCTTTGGAAGGCACAGTGGGTATTATTGGGGTTGGTGTTTGTTTGATGAACTCAACTAACAGGAAAACGAGCAGTGTTTCTCTGAATCTGTGTCTGTGCTGCAATCTATCCGAACTTGTTTTGAATTGTAGTTTTCATCATGTACCGAGAAAAAGGTAGGATGATGAATCTCTTGGTTCTAAAAAGACTTGGTCTCTATAGTCTCAATTCACGTGAGAGTGAGGCTCAGCAACACCCTCTCGTTTTTCTTGAATAAATAAATCAGAGAAATAGTAAGCCACAGTCACTGTACTCATTGGATCCGATACAGAAAAGTAGTGGTGGATACATATACATATACCAACTAGTTCATGCTTATTAGGGTTTTCACCTTTTATTTATTTCTTATTTTTATTTTGTCTCTCTTCCAACAAGTACCCTATAGCTACCACTTCCAAACTGTTTCTATCAACCACACCAACACTCTCCCCCAGACATCGCAGTGAAACTCAAATAGTCACACCCCTCTCCCTCTCTCCAATACACTGCATCTACATTCACATTCACAGCAACTTCCATGCATATATATATATATATATATATATAAATATATATATATATATATATATATATATATAGATAGATAGATAGATAGATAGATAAAAGTAGGAATAAATCTTACACTACTAAACCAATTTAATAAAATCAGGTTAAACTTTCACACTAGTATCGGGATATAGTACTGTAATTTCAGTTAGAAGTTCACACACCTCAGTTTTAATTGTTTGTATCCTTTGTTATTTTTCTTTTTTTAAGGGGTAGGGTACTCCTATGTTCTCTTTCATTTATATATTATTTGTCCGGGATAAAAAAAAAAGTATGATATCGGGTCTATGGAAATTGAAATTTGGAGCTATATGTCATTTATCATCGAATCCCTTTAATTCTCAAATTCAATATATTCTCGACAAAAGAAATGTGTTAAAAATATTACATTAATTACAATTTATATCTTATTATTCTACCTTCCTAAACTGATATAATGGTTTAGTAAAAAGTTAAGAAAAAACAAAATTCCAATGTCTTAATAAACCAAAGTCATTCTTAACACGAATTATAGTGGGAGATTTTTTATTTATGAGCAATAGAATATTTTAGAAGCACTAAAATGGATTTAGAAGATAAATAGAGGAGTAGATATGGTTAATTTGGTTGGATTGATGTTTGAGAAATGATTAATGAGAAAAATGTGAGGTGGTGGTGTTGTGTTTCTGGGTTCAGTTTTGTCAGTCACTTTTCTACGTGTGGCAGCAAACAGCAGATAGCACGGACACTGTTACACTCAAAAGAATCCACATAAATGAGAACATCCATCCGAGTTCCCTGAGCTGAATGAGGAGGGAGGGCCTCATATACATACATAAACCCTCTTCCTCTTCTTAATTACTCCTCCAATTCATGAGTGTCCTCGAGATCACCAAAATCCTCGACTTTTTCTTTCTTGGAACTTTTGCTGAAGCAAATCTAATCCCACAGAATATCTTCCTTATATTCGTCAAGTCCCTTTTAATTGGTATAGAAATATTATTAATAAAAGGGCATGGGAAGAAGAAAAAGTAAAGAAAAATGGAGATGGTTGAAGGAGAAAGAAAGAATAGTGTAGGGTGTGAGAGAAAAGTGAGTATGGGTTTCTGAAGTTGTTGTTCCTCTGAATGAATGCTATAGTTATAATTTCAGAATCCATCAATCTTGGTCTGTCTGAACCATGCCAAGACGTGGAAAAGAAGCAAAGAGCAGGTGAAAAATGGCAGGGTGAGGTTATTAGAAAGGACAAACATGTGGTGGAGGGTATTGGGGGGTCCTATCCCTATTTAAGCCCCCACATCAAATTCTTTATGTCCTCCTCTTCCTATCAATAAGGCTCCACACCTTCTTTCATTTCTTCAACTTCTCTCTCTCTCTCTCTTACACTCACTCACCCAAACACGTACTCATGTACTTACGTTATTCTTCTCTATGTGGTCAAGAGAGACAAACAACTCCATTGTCATGCTAATACTCTTCACACACACCTATACGTGCACACGTCATGTCTCTACTTCAATTCAGTGTACCATAAATATTCCAACTTTCAAAATCCCTCCTAATCAATTTCATCTATCATTTTTAACTCTAACTCTTCACAAACACACCTTTTTTCTCTTTCCATTTCCCTTCTACCAACATCTTTATTACCCACTTCACACTCGTTTGCCATCCATTTCATATATATACTGTCGGAGTTTATAAAGAAAAATATACTTTTAGTCTTCAGCCCTGTAAGATTTTTTTCTTCTAATAGAAGATTCAAAGTCAGTCTTATTAATGATCAAGGAGATCTCATTATTCTATATCATTTATTTATCAATAAAATGAAAGTGATACATTAAAAGAAACTCGTTTACACTATAATTTATAAACACTGCATTTTTCTTTTATCATATCCAATAATTCTGTCATTTAAGAGTGAAGTATAAGATAATTTTTTTCTATTTTTCAAACATTTTTCAGAATAAAATCGTGGTAAATTATCAAATTTTAAAATGAATAATAATTTAAATGAAAAATAATTATTTCTAACAATATCCCTAGATGAATTAAAATCAGAACAATTACAAATATAACTACTAATTATTAATTATGATCCATCAATATATATATACCAATAATAGTTTAAAATGACCAAGGAATTATGACGTATCGTATATATCCTCCAAACTTATATAGAATATTTATATTTACTTTGAAGACGAATAAAAATTTAAACTTTACTACTTTATATATTCATAAATTCTTAGACTTTTTCTGAAATGAATATATCCACCTTAAAAGTAAAAAGTTATTTATTTGACTTGGAAAGCCACTTTGACTTTGACTGGCCACCGCAATTCGCTAATCTACAACTCTAATCAATTGGTAAATGTTTCTTAAAGTGTAGTTATTTGACGAGGAATTAATGTGTGTACAAAGTTAACAGCTACAAAAGCAAAACTACGTAACCAAGATGAAAGATGGGTTTATAATTCAAAGTTTTAACTGCGGTTTAACCCATTAAACAAATTTTAATAAAATATATATATTTTAAGTTTTTAATATATCTAATATATATATATATATATATATATATATATATATATAAAGTAGTATTAATAAAAGAAAAAGACGATATACATATAAATTTATAAAATTAAAATTTACAATTTACTCCAAAGTATCCTTTCTTTTATCATGAAATGCAACTATACTAAAAAATATATTAAATTAGGATAAATGGGTTGTCCCAACTCATAGACAAAGAAATATGTACACACAGAAAAAAGAAAAAAAAAAGTCAATTTTGAAAACTAACACGTCTAATATATCACTATTTAAGTTGAACAATAAAAATTCATTAGCAGTTATAAATCTCTTAAAAGTTCTAGTTACGATAAAAAAATACATTTTTAGAATCAATGGATTAAACTGTTAACCCGTCAATTTTATAGTTCATTATTGGTTTAATCAGTCCAAATTAAATTTGATTTTTAAAAAGACTCGGACAGACACTAGATCGGTTCTCAATTTAACATTTTTGAACTGGAAACAATATAATATCTCTTATTAACTAAAAATGTTTACAACAATTAAGTTTTCTTAAGTATGCTTTAAGATATTTCATTATAATAGGAGATGTTTGGATAAACTTTTCATGAGCATTCACAGAGGAAATTTTGTTTTTTAAAAGGAAATAAGTTTCAATAAATTAAAATTAGTTTGTACACAACCTAAAAATACAAATTTAGTGAAATTATGTAAAAAAAATATAAATTAGCTTATGTATAAACTATTTTAATTTATGAAAAAAATAATAATTTTTTTTCTTTTCTAGTTCTGGAGATGTTTTGCAAAGGTTTTTGTGATCCTTGACAACTATTTTTCAACTATGGATATGAGGTTTTGCGGGAAAACAAAAAAGATAGGACATATAGTAGTACAATGTTTGGTAGACCAACAGAAAGAAAAACATTAGAACTTGCAATAAAGTATTTACCAAATTATTATTCTAATCTCTTTATTCACCAAAAAAAAAAAAGAAATAAAAATGTTTAAACCA